ATAAGCAACGGTGGCACATTTTCTATGGGAACCAGAAAAGGCAACGTGTGCTCCTTACTGCTCTGTAAAATCCATCAATCAGCTCCAAATGCCTTGGGACAGTTACTCTCATCTCCATACTTATAAGGAGCTAAAATTAATGAACTCAGTTTTAAAAAGAAGCACTATCAATGACTTCTATGTACATTCCAAGGCACAAACCTGCTTAATATCAACACAGTTTTTCATGAGGCCATTCCTCAGCTGTAATATAGCAGAGCAGGGCACTCTGCCCATAATCTTCTTATTATTTCACGTTACTATGTAGCGGAGAAACTGTTTCAAGGCTATATCTGGGTGAAGTTGCCTATACAAATAACCTAAAATAATCTGATCCAACTACTATTAAAAGAACATTACTCCTAGACTCCTGTCTATGAAAGAACGACTCACCAGGAACCTTGCTTCATCCATCAGCTTAATTCCTATATTGTTCCTTCATGCAAGATTGACAACAATCTCCATGGATTTCTCCCTGCCCTGGAGTTGGCATCACTGAAGCAACTATTAGCTGTCCTTGTACAGTCTCAGTTTTAAGGACACCTGCAGCACCTACAGATCCCTGGAGAAACCATACTGCTACTGCTGCCAAGAGAATAATCTTTGTTTTTATTATCTGCCACTGGCTGCTTTCATTTGTGTTTTCTAGTAGCTTGGCAGCCTTGTCTTCCATAGACAAAAAGAATCTTTTCATGCTATTCACTACAGTGATCCAAACAGTCCCATTGTGGTAAGGGGTGTGTGTGATTCAGGCCACCCTGTCAATGTCAGTGTACATTCACTTCTGTCAATGTCAATGTGAATTCACTCCATAAACTGAATTCAACCTGCTGTGAACGTTCATCACACTACAGTAAACCACCCTCGGGTATGCAATCCTTATGAGTAAGGTCTAATTGAAACATGACCCTGCTGGGCATGTACAAATAACCCCCCCCCAAGGGTGCATTCCACATGTCTGCAGGATAGTATAAATGGAGTTGCCTTGCCTTTGTGTGCATTAGTGAACACACTGGATATACTACAGCAGTGGTGCATAGAAAGCCACATTTTTGCATATGCCCGGCATTATACTGAAATCTGCCCCATTTAGCTCATTGCATTCAAACATGCAATAGATCCTGCTGGAGAGGGTCATGGCTCAGTGGTAGAACATCCATTTGGTGTGCAGAAAGTCCCAGGTTCAATCCCTGGCATTTCCAGTTAAAGGATCTGGCAATAGGTGATGTGAAAGATCTCTGCCTGAGACCCAGGAGAGCCACCGCCAGCTTGAGCAGACAATACTGAGTAGACAATACTGATTGTGATGGACCAGTGGTCTGATCATTATAAGGCAACTTCATATATCTATAAATACTGGTTAGCAATTGTATGCCAAGAGACCAATTCTAGGGTGAATGTAGTCCATAGCAGGACATGCACATATAACTGGTTCAGCAAAGGGCTTCACTGTCAGGAAGTCAGCATAGGCCAGCTTTTTCCAGCAGCTTTGAATAAGCAAAGATGGAATTGTAAAATCCAAGGATTACTCAAACTTCACATTTTTTCCATAAAAAGATACCTTAGGTGCTGATGGTAGTAGAGCTAAATAGCTAAGCTCATTCCACTAGAAATCTTTAGGACTGCATATCCAATCTCAACATTAGCAACTCTGGCTGTTTATTGTTTAATGGGTTGGGGAAAGAGCATGCAAGATCTCATGCTCACTTTAGATACAAGGTTCCAGGGAACAAAATGCAAATATGGCACAATAAAAATTAAAAACCAATGTTCATGAAACTCTTTTGTACAGCAATACATTCATCAAAACAAACAATAGCATTCGTTCATGTTTGGTTAACAGAATTATTTCAGCTTCCAGGGTCTAGTCTCAATGGCTACACTTAAAAGGTAGCTACTCTTTCAATAATGTGTACCTTTCCCCCCAGCAAGAAAAAGGATAACTAACTCGCTGTTCTGCTGAATGGCCTGGTACCATAGCCAAGACTCACACAATTACTTCATCTCTAAGTTCTATATAGTAACCATGAAACAGCACATGGGCTCAGTATATGTCTCCCCTGAACCTAGGGTTGCCAGACCCCCAGTCGGGGTGGGGTTTGCCCTGATTTCAGGGGCTCCAATCTGCCACCAGCCAGCCGGCTACCAGAAGAAGCCCCACCACTCTAACAGCCCCCTCCCATGTTGATGTCATCAGCATGATGACATCATGCAGAAGTGACATCATCACGCCAGGCATGTTGCACAGTGATGCTCTAGAATTTTGGCCAAAATTCTAGGCTAACCATAGAACTTTGATCAAAATACTAGAGTGTTGCTGCACGACATACCTGGTGTGACAATGTCATTTCCACATGATGTTATCATGCCAACCACATCACACGCAGTGTCTCCTCACCCTCCCCACTCCCAGAAGGCTTCCTCCCACCCTCTGCCATCTGGGTAAGTAGACATGGCAATCCTACCTGAACCACCAGGACACAAGCTATAATTTGAAGGGATCTGCTTGTAGCAATCCTCAAGGATTGTTGATTATGGATGGGCATGAACTAAACCACAAAGCAAAATTAATCACAAATTTCGCCCTGTTCGTGGTTTGCCAACCAAAGTTCATGACAGGTCTACTGTCATGAACTCCCATGAACTTTTAAAGCCGTTCATGGCAATTTGTGGATAGAGCAGAAAGCTGCAAAAACAGCTGAGCAGCGGGGAGCAGCCTGCAGTCCCTTAGCTGAGGGGCAGAGAGTGTTTGTTACCTGCCTCTCAGCTGTTTTTCAAGCTTTCTGCAAAGGCCATTTAAAGGGACTGTGGTCCCTTTCAATGAGGTTTGCAGGGCCATAAACTGTGAACCGACACAAACCACATTTTTCTGGTCTGTGCCCATCCCTATTGCTGATGGCAAACCTTACACTGTGCTGACGCAAAGGCTCTTCTCTACTCTGGTTGACAAGAGTTTCAAAGAGTCGGCACACCTATGTTCATGGGTATGATGATAGCAAACCCAACTGAATCTTTTGTACTTTCCCTTCTGCAATTCCACAATGCTAGCTGATCAGTCAGGACTGGAAGCTATTACAGCCTGAATGGGTGGCGTGGGACCAGCCTGAAGGGATACAGCAGGGAGCATTTTGCTGCCTCTGATATGTGCCAGCAGCAATTGTCTGCCTTCACTTAAAGCTGGTTCTTAATAAAGAAGGAACATCACTGGGAAAGGACGGCAAACAAGTGCAGTTTAAACACAGAATGAGACTTAAAAGAAGAACGCAGGCAGATTTGGAATGCAAAAATGTGACAGGAAGCAAGAAATGCTAATCTGCAGAATCAGTGGGTGGGTGGGCAGAATCAATTAATTACTTAGAACTGGAAAGGTGAAGTAATCCTCTTTTCATTTAATTTAAATTCCTTTTAATCCACATATTTTCTCCCCTGGGCATAACAGTACACTTTAAAATCAAACCATTCCACAATGCATTCTCTCTTATGTGACAATAGTACTTCTGTAAACCCAGTTTGTAATCCAGTGAAGTCACTGCAGGGTATGCCTCACAGAGAAATACTACTTCAGATTAATGGGGCTGGATGAGTACCTCAGTTTTTGACATTTTTATCTTTTATTCTACTTGATAGGACAAGAAAAACAAAAATCAGCACCAGTTTTGCTCTTTCTAATACCTGGCATTAATGTATATTTCTTTTACAATCTCCAACCTGACATAATCTGTTTAGGAAAATGACCAATTTTGACACACACTGAATAATGCACTTTCAGTCCACTTCCAATGCACTTTGCAACTGGACTTTACAGTGTGAAATGTCAAAATCCACTCACCAATGATTACTAAGGGCATTGGAAGTGGATTGAAAATGCATTATTCAGCATGTGTAAAAGCGCCAGAGTCCTTAAGAACATAAGAGAAGCCAATGTTGGATCGGGCCAATGGCCATTCCAGTCAAACACTCTGCATCACACTATGGCCAAAAATACCAGGTGCCATCAAGAGGTCCACCAGTTCCATTCACTTTTACTATATATGGCTGAAATGAACACCTCAGATTCCTACTGCCCTTTCTGGTGAAATAATTTGAAGGACTGGAATCCCACACCTCAAAAATGCATATGGAAATTTTGAATCAGATTCTGAACTATTAAATAATATTAAATATATAGTTAAATATCTGAATGTTTCCATCTATGAATTTTAATTTATTAAAAATGGTAGATTTCAGTTTTGATGAGCCAGGTTTTTTTGTTTTTATTTGTTTTTTTGTAACTTTAGGAGACATTCAAAGGTTTCCTCCAAGTGCCACTCATGATGTGAGGGTGAATAAACACCATTAATTCAATGTACTTGTCTTGCAATTTTGCTGCATCAAGTATTTTGGACAACATTCCTCCAGTGATCCATTGTGAAATTCTGTAAACATCATTCATGTGGATGTACATGCAGAATGCATTTAGTTATGCATATTATGTGTGCTTTATAGGTATTTTACAAGTTTTTCACTCCTTGTTTCCAAAATATTTCCACAATATATATCTATATATAAATGCATATCATTACAATATAGAAGACAGTCTGAGAAAATATGGAATTCTCTTGCATTGTATGACCAATTCAGATGGGAATGGCATATTCTGGATAGAATTCCTATTGGGAAGCAATTCAGAATCATTCCCAAGGCATGACAAAAAAATTCATTGCCCTTAAAGGGGGGGCGGTAGCAAAACCCTTTGCTCCTGAAGAGAGACAGGCATATCACTGTTTTAAGTATTACTTGCTGGGGGACTCTAATATTCTAACTTACTCTAAAGTGAAATTAGGGCAAAAATGATCAAATTACATTAAAAATCATTTTCAATGTGCATAAACTTCAGTACTGTTTTGCCAGCTGAGATGAATTTGCTTTAAAATTCTTTCACCTGCTTAAGTGCTACCTGAGACTCCGTGATTCCTTCTTACCTGTGTGGTAAAATTTTCCTGAAAATCCAAGGTTGAAGGTAAAATTTGCAACCTGAGTGCGTAGTAAAGTTTGAGTCTCTAGTAAGGCCTGAAACAAATAAGAAATAGCATGCATTTAGAAAAAAAAATTACCTCATTTCAAAATGGAGGCTGAGCTTCAAAGTTAAGAATTGTAGCACATTTAGATGTATGAGCCCCTCCTCCCACTTTAATCTATATCATAAATATACACCAAGTTAAAGAAAGAAAATATAATGAACTAAATTTTGTGATTAGTTTCATGATACAACTGTAATTTTTGTATCATAAGCAAAAACTCCAGTGATATCGTAAGTAGTAATGCCTATCAATCTAGGCCTCCCAAATTCAAGAAAGTACGCAAAATGTAAAATTCCCAGTCATATGGGTCTGTCTTCCTTCTCAAAGAACTCTGAGCTTCTTACAATAGGACCAGTTGTAGCCTCTTGTCTAAAGCCCTGAACTCGAGATAGTATGCATAGGATTCCCATGTGATCTTCCATTGAAGCAGACCCTGTTCTGCCCAACTGCAGCAGTACCAGTTCATTTACCTTCAAAGCACATCCTACAGGTTAGACCTATACTTTCACAATGTTCTTACTACTCTCCTATCCCTCTAATCCATACTCAATCTATGTTTAGAAGAAAAAAATATGGACAGATAGCATGTATCAAGGACAACTCTCTTTCAGCTGGAACTGGATTTCACCAGAGAGATAAACACCAATGTGGTTCACACAGTTCACTGATGAACAATAGGCACAGGTTTGCTGAGATAGGTATAGTTATCACTACTAAGTGACACTGAAAGAAGAAAGGGATTCTGTGCCTTCACCAGAAGGCATCAGGTGGTCATGTTAGCTGCTGCTGCTGCATCATGCAGGCACACAGCTACTGAGTGAGCAAAAGAACCCAGTACCCAAGGGTGACACTATTATAAGTACTCCCTCCAGGTATTATTTAGTATCCACTCAGGAACCATGTACTTGCACAGTGCTGCATTGGGCTGATAGCCAGTGGCTGGCATCTGACGGGTGACTAGTGGGTGGAGACATGGGGAGCACTATTATGTTGATGGCGTGACATCATTTCTGGAGTGAACCCAGAAGTGGTGTCACATCGCTATAGGGTTCA